CCCCTGCGGACTCCGGCACTCCTCAAACCTTAACTTTTCTCTCCATTCCTTGATCCCCACAGTCCGCGTGGGGTCTGCAGGTTCTGGGCTCTGGGCTGGGCGCAGGGCCCGCAATGGGTCTTGGGCACGTAGGCCGAGCCAGAGGTTGTTTCCCATCTGCTGAGGACCTCGTCGAAAGCCCAGATGCGAGAATCCTGCTTTGCAGCCGGGGGTAGAGGGTCCGCGACCGTGGACTGGAGAGAAGGCGCTGCACATCAGCTAGAAAGACTCAGGAGTCCGTATCACCCCCCACCCCAAGCTCTGACCTCTTCCAGTCGGCCCCCGGCCCTTTCCTCTGCAATCCCTGGCATCCAGCTTCCCTGGTGCCTCCTCTCTCAGACCCAGGGCTCCAGGACACTCCAGCTTCAGAGAGGAGTCCAAGCTCCCAATCCCCTTTACTCAGCACCTAGCTTTCTGGGTCCCCAGCCCCGCAGGGCTTCAGCCTAGGGTCAACTCACCTGCACCGTGGGTGGGGGGAAGGGCATGGGTGGGATAATGCGGTGGACAACGCAGGTTCTGGTGAGATGCCAGTTGGGCCAGGATCCAGGCATCTCGGTTGCAGAGATGGAAGACCGCGGCGGGGGGTGGGGCGCAGGGGGGCGGGTCGGGGGGAGCACAGCGCAGAGCCAGGGTGCCACTGGCCATGGTTCCTCCCCCTCCCTATAGCCAAGCAAGTGCTGGCTTGTTGTTGCTGTTGCGGCAGGTGACAGAACCCGCCCATCCTGAAAGTAGCCAATGAAGGGCCTGTAGGCACGTGGATGGATGGAGTGAAAAGGAGACCCAGAGACAGAGGGACAGGGAACCCAAGAGGGGCACAGAGAAACGCGGGGAGGGGGATGGAGACTCAGACAAGAGGGAAGAAGAGGAAGGAGAAGTTCAGAATTTCAGAGACCCAGGGGGATAGGGGAGACAGAGACCCAGAAAGAGGAACAGAGACCTGGGAATCCAGACAGAGAGATAGAGACCCCTGCACTGCACATAGCACCTCAGGACATCCATGAGAAACACCCGTCTTTCCTCCAAGGTCCAGAAGAAGCTCCTGCTGCTTCCTCCTTCTGCCAGGACTGCCCACCTTGGGGTAATGATTTCCAGAGGTCCCTGGGGCTCCCCCACTATCACCGCATGTGCTGGAGGGGTCAGCGCTGGCGTCAGCTGTCCTGCCTGCCTTTTTTTTTTTTGAGACGGAGTCTCGCTCTGTCGCCCAGGCTGGAGTGCAGTGGCCTGATCTCAGCTCACTGCAAGCTCCGCCTCCCGGGTTCACGCCATTCTCCTGCCTCAGCCTCCCGAGTAGCTGGGACTACAGGCGCCCGCCACCTCGCCCAGCTAGTTTTTTGTATTTTTTTTAGTAGAGACGGGGTTTCACCATGTTATCCAGGATGGTCTCGATCTCCTGACCTCATGATCCGCCCATCTCGGCCTCCCAAAGTGCTGGGATTACAGGCTTGAGCCACCGCGCCCGGCCCCTGCCTGCCTTTAATTTGCTGGAAAAGTTCCACCTGGGTAGGCTGGGTGGGCAAAGAGGGATGATCCACAGAGAAGTGCACAGGGACATAGTGAAAAAGACGGGCCTTGATGTGTGAGAAGGAAATACAGCAAGAAAGGGGAGAGACAGGAAGGAAGAAAGAGACTACGATGGAAAGGGAACTATTAGTACTAACCCAGAGGTGAGAGATACTGGAAGTTACAGACAGAGAGGAAGGTGGCAAAAGGATCAACATCACAGATTGAAAACAAGGAGATGTAGAAATGGAGGCAACCATGCTCCACCCTGCCCCAGGGCCTGGTCTGTATAGATGGGGGGAGAAGAAGCCTATGTCCCGTGCTCAAATCTGGACGTGAGAGAGAGAGAGAGAGATGTGTGGTTGTGTGTTGGCAACACATGTGGGGAGATGGGTAATAGGTAAAGGGCTACTTTGAAGTCCTGTGGTCTGTCCCAGAGAGAGAGAGAAAAAAAAAAAAAAAAGAGAGAGAGAGAAACTCCGTGTGTGTGTGTGTGTGTGTGTGTGTTGGCAACACATGTGGGGAGATGGGTAATAGGTGAAGGGCTATTGTGAACTTCTTTGGTCTGTCCCTGGCTTCCCTTGTCATTTCTTCACTATAAAGAGCTTTTGGTCAGTGGATGCGGTGGCTCGCTCCTGTAATCCCAGCACTTTGAGCGGCTGAGGCGGGCAGACTACTTGAGGTTAGGTGTTTGAGAGCAGCCTGGCCAACATGGCAAAACCCTGTCTCTACCAAAAAACATAAAAATTAGCCAGGCATGGTGGGACCCAACTGTAATCCCAGCTAAGGCAGGAGAATCACTTGAACCTGGGAAGTGAATGCTGCAGTGAGCTCAGATGGCGCCACTGCACCCCAGCCTGTGCGACAGAGCAAGACTCTATGTCAAAAAAAAAAAAAAAAAAAAAAAAAAAAAAGAGCTTTAGGTCAAGGCCTCTGCCTCCAGAACCCCCATAATCTCATCCCACTGGCCCATTCTTCAGACAAGGAAAACTGAGGCTGCCTTCTGCAGTCAGGCCCAGAATCCCACCCCTCCTCCCCCATTCAGGCTTCTGGGGCCCTTCTGTTGGATTTTGCTGGCCCTACTCAAGGGCTGTCAATGCACACTGACCCCCTGATCCAGCCAGGGGGCCGGCAAGTTAGTCAGAACGTCATGTCCCACTTAAGCTGGACATTTTTTTTTTTTTTTTTTTTGAGACGGAGGAGTTTCCCTCTTTTTGCCCAGCCTGGAGTGCAATGGCAGAGTCTCAGCTCACTGCAACCTCTGCCTCCCAGGTTCAAGTGATTCTCCTGCCTCACCCTTCAGAGTAGCTTGATTACAGGCACTCACCACCACGTCCAGCTAATTTCTTTTTATAATTTTAGTAGAGACAGGGTTTCACCTTGCATGCTTGACCTCAGGTGATTCGCCTGCCTCAGCCTCCCAAAGTGCTGGGATTACAGGCGTGAGTCATCACACCCGGCCATCAAGCTGGATAATTTTAAGGTCTGTTGCTTTCCTGATGTAGGGTAGAGGTTGAGACAGGGAAGAGGGCTAGAAACCTGACTCCAACTCCCTGCCCAGGGCTGAACTCTCCAGCATCCTGATCACTTCTTATTCAACCTTGCTTGTACTCCCCCTGTGATGGGGGGCTCATTACCTCACAACAGAATATTATAAGCCAATGCCTGCCCCCTCTCACCAAGTAATATTTCCCATTTGAACCCCAGCTCCCAGACACTTAAAAGCCTTCTGTGGACCACGTTCTAAAGGTCCCCTGGCCATCTGCTTGCATGTTCCAGTTTCTCTCCTTCCCCATCCACATAATGAAATGTGCCCTCCCTCTCTCCAGGATGAGCAACATGGTGTCCACTGACACTGGGCAGTCAGCCACTTAACACCAAAGGCCACCAATGATCAAATCCACAAGAGTTGATCCGAGGAGTTATGTATTAGGGCTGAGAAAGAGTAAACACTCAATAAATAGTGGTTATTCTTTTTTTTTTTTTTTTTAATTCTTTTGAGACGGAGTCTCCTTCTGTCGCCCAGGCTGCAGTGCTGTGGCCGGATCTCAGCTCACTGCAAGCTCCGCCTCCTGGGTTCCAGCCATTCTCCTGCCTCAGCCTCCCGAGTAGCTGGGACTACAGGCACCCGCCACCTCGCCCAGCTAGTTTTTTGTATTTTTTTTTTTTTTTAGTAGAGGCGAGGTTTCACCGTGTTAGCCAGGATGGTCTCGATCTGCTGACCTCGTGATCCGCCCATCTCGGCCTCCCAAAGTTCTGGGATTACAGGCTTGAGCCACCGTGCCCTGCCAAATAGTGGTTATTCTTATCATCATCATCATAATTACTACCCTCAAGTTCCTCTGGGAGAACTCCTATTCAAACTTCAAAACCACATATGGTTTCACCCATCTTGCAGAGATTGAGCTCCAATTCAGAGAGTTGTGATATTGTGATCATTTGTTGAGTTCTCAAACTGGGGTCCTTAGAGCAGCAGGGCCATCCCTGAGGAGGGGAAGGGAAAGGCAGTGGATGAAGGAGAATGGAAGAGATGACATCCACCTCAGCCCATTCATCCCATTCATATCCCCACCCCCCATCTGTACTGCCAGTGCCACCCTCAGAGGGAGGAAGAGAGAGCTCGGCCTTGAAGGCTCAGGCCCTGCCCCCTGGAGGCACAATGACCTTGTGACCTTCCTTCTCCCCACAGAAGGCGAGACCATGGACACCTCCTGAGCTGGATGTCATCCCCTGACCCCATCCTGTTTTCTTTTTTTGTTGTTGAGATGGAGTCTCACTCTGTGGACCAAGCTGGATTGCAGTGGCACCATCTCGGCTCACTGCATACTCCCCCTCCCGCGTTCACACCATTCTCCTGCCTCAGCCTCCCAAGTACCTGGGACTACAGGCACCCGCCACCACTCCCGCCTAATTTTGTATTTTGAGTAGAGACGGGGTTTCACCATGTTAGCCAGGATGGTCTGGATCTCTGGACCTAGTGATCCGCCCACCTCAGTCTCCCATAGTGCTGGGATTACAGGCCTGAGCCACGGCGTCCAGCCATCCACCTTGTATTCTTTTTTTTTTTTTTTTTTTTTGAGACGGAGTCTCGCTCTGTCGCCCAGGCTGGAGTGCAGTGGCGCGATCTCGGCTCACTGCAAGCTCCGCCTCCCGGGTTCACGCCATTCTCCTGCCTCAGCCTCCCGAGTAGCTGGGACTACAGGCGCCCACAACCGCGCCCGGCTAATTTTTTGTATTTTTAGTAGAGACGGGGTTTCAACGTGGTCTCGATCTCCTGACCTTGTGATCCGCCCGCCTCGGCCTCCCAAAGTGCTGGGATTACAGGCGTGAGCCACCGCGACCGGCCCACCTTGTATTCTATCAGAGATCTGACAGTGTGACTTTGTAAAAAATGGTTTTGAAGCTGGACCCACCCTGCGTGTGTGTGGTTGCCCTGAGCCCACAGAAAGACACCTCCAGAGTGCAGATTGAGAAGCCTTTATTGCGGGAGGAACGGGGTGTCTGCTGGCTCCAGGAGTCGAGATGGACTTGGAGGGCTGGGGGGAGGGTCCTTTGAGGAAGAGGAGGCCTGGAGGTGGGGGTCATCACAGGTCAAAGGGTGGTCCTTGGGACCCCCACAGTCAGAAGTGCTGCGGCGGCAGAGTGCACAACGACAGCTGAGAGCCACGGGAACGGAGACCACGGGGTCCACGCCAGGCGGGCAGCCAGGGAGCCGGATGGACTCGAAGCGCACCTCGCGGTAGTTGCACACCACCTGGGGCACTGGCGGCAGGACCGCCTGCAGCACCCGCATCTGGAGGATGTGTGGATAGGGGAGTGAGCATGTGCCTGGGGCCAGCGCCTCCGCTGACCTCCCAAGCTGCCCCCAAAGGTCCCAGACTCAGGAGTCCAGGAAGCCCTCTGTTCCCACCCTCCCACACCCCATTCCCCAGCCCCTGACCAGACAGGCAGACCGCCCTTCCTCCCCCGCTGCCTCTGTGATCCGGCCCTGAGGTGGCAGCAACTGCTGCTGGACCCGGGCAGCTCACCATGGTGGGACAGTAGCCGGCACAGATGGTGGTGTTGACGGTGATGCACACGGGGCAGGCCTCCTTCTCGGCAGCCAGGGTGGCATTGATGGGGCGGCACAGTGGCCGCAGCGGCTCCCTGGATGCCCGTGCCCCACCCACGCTCAGCAGCAGCCACAGCAGCAGCCCCTGGGACAAGGACACTGCTTCAGCCCAGTCTGAGACCACAGCCCCGTGCCCTGGCCCTCCCATTCCCCGGGTACACCACATGCAACGACCCAGAGACCCTTCCCAGCATCTCCTAGTCAGGACCCACCGCCCAGACACCTGCCTTTCAGCGCCCACCCCACAGCCCAGAGGACCTGAGATACCCCAACGTTTCAGATCCCCACCCTCAGGGATTGCCCCACCTGAAGCTTACTGGGGGTCACGCCCCTCCAGAAAGAGGCCTCCTTCCACAGCTCACACGCGTCTGCCCCTTCTCATGCCAGTGATGGCCTGGAAGGAGGTGGAAGGTGCCCAGGGGCCCTGCAGTCTTACCTGGAGCATCTCCATCCTTGGTGCGTCCCCTCCCTCGGCTTTATACCTCCGGGTTGTGGGGGCGGCAAGGCCACCAGGAGGTGGTAGGATGCTGGGGTGACCTCGACACTAACACCCCGGGGGGTGAGAGGTGCAAAAAGCAAGGGAGGGGCAAGAGTGGCTCAGCGGGGCGTCCCAGCCCTCTCCCCTCAGTGGTCCAGCGCCAAGAGTGAGGCAGAGACCACGGTGAAGTGACCTCAGAGACTCAGTCGTCCAGTGCTAGGGTCTAGTCGGCGTTGGAGGCACAGCAGTAGGGTGTAGGAAAACCGGCCTCTGCCTATCGTGCGGTCTTGGGAGCCAGGAGGAGGCCGTGACCCGAGAAAGGTGCGGGACTGAAGCCTCAACCCTCCTCCATTTAAGGCATTCCTCCGCCACAGTCCAACCTCCCAGGAGGGGCGCGGCTTCGGACTTAGCTCCTGCCCAATCCGAGAGGGCCTCCCCGTGACTTTGCAGCCGGGGAAGCCGCTTGACCCAGATGCCCCCAAACGAGGGATTCAGCCAGAGACCTACCTCTCCCTTAGGGACCTCCGCCCTCCCTACCCTCAAGCTAGGATGCCCGGAGCGGTCCCCGGAAATGCGTGTGGTTCAGGTAACTTAACTCATTATTTAATACGCCCGCAGGGGGCGCGTCCTGCCCGCGGGGCCACAGCCTCCAAGGACAATATCTGAACTTAGTCCCTTCCTCGCGAAGCCGCAGCTGAGTGTGCGTGTCTGGGGTAGTCCGGCCCCCACATTCCCGATAGACGCAATGAGTAGGAGACCACCTAGGTCCGGACACCGCGTAGTGGGCGGAGGTCCGGAGCTTGGCTCCTCCGCGAGGCCAGAGGACGTGTCTGGGGTGGGGCGGGCCCGGCCAGCTCCCACTAGCGCCGACTTCAAGCTGCCGGAGCGGGAGTTCTGGGGGCTGTAGGCTTTCGGCACGCTGTGGATGCCCGGCAAGTGCTTACAGTGGGGGCCACCCAGGGCGCCTCCAGCGGGCGGAAGCGGTCCAGCGGGCGGAGCGGGTGCTGCGGGTGGAGCGGGTGCAGCGGGCGGAGCGGGTGCAGCGCGCGGAGCGGGTGCAGCGCGGGGCTGTAGGATTCCTGAGCCAGAGTCATGGTCCCGCGGTGCGGCGCTCCGGGCGGCCGGGAGGAGCGCAGACAGGGTGGCCGCTGCGGGTCGTGACCCCAGAGTTAGGGATTCCTTTCGAAGCTCCAGTAGATCAGGGAGTCTTTGCGAGGGTATAGAGACAGCTCCGTCCTGTGGGAGCAGGGCAGGATGGTGAGGATACAGCTGGATCCTTGGGGACGAGGTTCAGACCTCGGGATCTCAGGAGTCTGCACACCCAAACTCCTGCATTTCCGGGCGAGGGCCCCTTAGGAAGGACGGGACTGGGTGCGCGTAGCCTGCGTTCCTGGGTACTCCAGGTACTTAACGTCCTGGAAACAGAACTTTCGTATCCTAGGGAAGGAAACGGGGGCTTTCGCTTCCTTGGGAAGGAGTATCTGGGGGCTCAAGTACGGAAAGAGGCCCTGCCCTCAGATCCAGAATCCCCTCGACCCGCTGTGCAGGCTTCCTGTCCCTACCGCCGTTCCTGAGAGTTGACACTAAGGACTCCTGGGTGCTAAAAGAGGGAGGGGCTGGGGCCTGAACTTTGGTTCTTGCTGCTATAGGATTCGAGGCTGAGACCACCGGGTCAGAGAATGGGAGCCAGCCCAGGGGCTCGGCGAGCACCGGCCAAGGCGGGGTCTGTGCAGGAGGCGGTGCGGAGCGAGAGCCCGGCTTACTTGGGATAGAACCGAAAGTTCCGGGCCGGGCCGAGGTGGTCAGATAGAGCTGGCGGCGGTCCAGGACGCCCCGGTCGGATACTGTGAAAGGCCGCCAGACAACTCGGGGTTCTTCGTCCAGGCGATTAGAGCCGGAGCAAGATTGTGGGAGGAGGCATACCCAAGACACAGATTTCACACCCCGTTCCAAGCCCTGGGTCCCGAGTTCAGAATCCCTCTCCTTCGGCCTCGACAGCCATGACGGCCACGGCCCTAGAACCCCGCCCCATAGTCAGAGCCCTTCCTGCCACCCACGCCAGGGAACTTCAGCTTCCTTCCTCAAACCCCAACCCTTCCCAGCCTCACTTCCCTAAATCCAAGCACCTCCTGCTGGTCAAGGAACTCAAACCCAGGCCCCCAGCCACAAAAAACAACCTCCCTGGTTCCGCTCCCGGTCTTAAACCGTCTTGGTGTGGCCACTGGAGCTGAGCTGCATCTTAGGCAACAATTCCACATTACCTCTCCCAGCTCCCACCCGACCCTGTCTCAGAATATTCTAGTCTCCTTCCCATCCACAGCCCGCTGTCTATCTCCGCAGCAGCTTCGGAGCCCTGAAGATGAGTTTCCAGCCCCTGGTCCTTCTGGCCTGGCCTCGAGGCCCAGACCCAGGCGGTGGTGGTCTGCGACTTGTGAGGGGCTGGGCGGTGGTGGTCTGCGACTTGTATTCAAGGGCGCGGGTGTCCGGGTGGGAAGAGCCGGTGTACTGCACCCTGGTCTCGAGGCTCTGGTACTTTGTGGTCAGTGGGAGGCGCCAGCCACAGCGTCTGAGGTGCGGAAAGGCGACCTGGAGACCCTTGTGAAGGCGCAGGGGACTCAAATGCAGTCTCCCGTCCTGTCCCCTGCGGACTCTGGCACTCCCTAAACCTTACCTTTTCTCCTGAATCCTTGATCCCCCAGTCCTCCTGGGGTCTGCAGGCTCTGGGCTCTGGGCTGGGCACAGGGCCCGTCATGGGGCTTGCCCACCTAGGCCCAAGCCAGTGGCTGAGCCAGAGGTTGTCTCCCATCTGCTGAGGACCTCGTTGAAAGCCCAGATGCGAGAATCCTGCTTTGTAGCCAGAGGTAGAGGGTCCGGGACCCTGGACTGGAGAGTAGGCGCTGCACATCAGCTAGAAAGACTCAGGACTCCATATCACCCCCCATCCCAAACTCTGACCTCTTCCAGTCGGCCCCCAGCCCGTTCCTCTGCAATCCCTGGCATCCAGCTTCCCTGGTGCCTCCTCTCTCAGACCCAGGGCTCCAGGACACTCCAGCTTCAGAGAGGAGTCCAGGCTCCCAATCCCCTTTACTCAGCACCTAGCTTTCTGGGTCCCCAGGTCCCACAGGGCTTCAGCCTAGGGTCAACTCACCTGCGCCGTGGGCGGGCGGAAGGGCATGGGTGGGATAATGCGATGGGCAGCACAGGTGTTGGTGAGATGCCAGTGGGGCCAGGATCCAGGCATCTCGGTTGCAGAGATGGAAGACCACGGGGGGGCGGAGGGGGGCACACAGCGCAGAGCCAGGGTGCCACTGGCCATGGTTCCTCCCCCTCCCTGTAGCCAAGCAGGTGCTGGCTTGTTGTTGCTGTTGCCCCAGGTGACAGAACCCACCCATCCTGAACCTAGCCAATCAAGAGCCTGCAGGCTTGTGGCTGGATGGAGTGAGAAGGAGACCCAGAGACAGAGGGACTGGGACCCCAAGAGGGTCACAGAGAAACATGGGGAGGGAGATGGAGACTCAAAGAGAGGAGGGCAGAAGAGGAAGGAGAAGTTCAGAATTTCAGAGACCCAGGGAGATGGGGAGACAGAGACCCAGAAAGGACAGAGACCTGGGAATGTCAGAGATCCAGAGAGACAGAGACCCCTGCACTGCACCGAGCACCTCCAGACATCCATGAGAAACACCCCTCTTTCCTCCAGGGTCCAGAAGCTCCGGGCTGCTCCTCCCTCTGCCAGGCCTGCCCACCTGGGGATAATGATTTCCAGACATCCCCGGGGCTCCCCCACCCTCCCCGCATGTGCTGGAGGGGTCAGCGCTGGTGTCGGCTGTCCTGCCTGCCTTTAATTTGCTGGAAAAGTTCCACCTGGGTAGGCTGGGTGGGCAAAGAGGAAGGACCCACAGAGAAGTGCACAGGGACATAGTGAAAAAGATGGGCTTCGATGTGTGAGAAGGAAATACAACAAGAAAGGGGAGAGACGGGGAGGAAGAAAGAGACTACGATGGAAAGGGAGCTATTAGTACTAACCCAGAGGTGAGAGACACTGGAAGTTACAGACAGAGAGGAAGGAGGCAAAAGGATCAACATCACAGATTGAAAACAAGGAGATGTAGAAATGGAGGCAACCATGCTCCACCCCGCCCCAGGGCCTGGTCTGTATAGATGGGGGGAGAAGAAGCCTATGTCCTTTGCTTAAACCTGGACCTGAGAGAGAGAGAGAGACAGTGTGTGTGTGTGTGTGTGTGTGTGTGTGTGTGTGTGTGTCTGTGTGTTGGCAACACATGTGGGGAGATGGGTAATAGGTAAAGGGCTATTGTGAAGTTTTGCAGTCTGTCCCAGAGAGAGAGAGAGAGAAAGAAAGAGAGAGAAACTCTGTGTGTGTGTGTGTGTGTGTGTGTGTGTGTGTGTGTGTGTGTGTGTGTGCTAACAGCACATGTGGGGAGATGGGTAATAGGTGAAGGGCTATTGTGAACTCCTTTGGTCTGTCCCTGGCTTCCCTTGTCATTTCTTCACTATAAAGAGCTTTTGGTCAGTGGATGCGGTGGCTCGCTCCTATAATCCCAGCACTTTGAGCGGCTGAGGTGGGCAGACTACTTGAGGTTAGGTGTTTGAGACCAGCCTGGTCAATGTGGCAAAACCCTGTCTCTACCAAAAAACATAAAAATTAGCCAGGCAGGTAATCCCAGCTAAGACAGGAGAATCACTTGAACCCGGGAGGTGAATGTTGCAGTGAGCTCAGATGGCGCCACTGCACCCCAGCCTGTGCGACAGAGCAAGACTCTATCTCGGAAAAAAAAAAAAAAAAAAAAAAAAAAAAAAAAAAAAAAAAGAGCTTTAGGTCAAGGCCTCTGCCTCCAGAACCCCCGTAATCTCATCCCACTGGCCCATTCTTCAGACAAGGAAAACTGAGGCTGCCTTCTGCAGTCAGGCCCAGAATCCCACTTACCCCTCCTCCCCCATTCAGGCTTCTGGGGCCCTTCTGTTGGATTTTGCTGGCCCTACTCAAGGGCTGTCAATGCACACTGACCCCCTGATCCAGCCAGGGGGCCGGCAAGTTAGTCAGAACGTCATGTCCCACTTAAGCTGGACATTTTTTTTTTTTTTTTTTTTTTTTGAGACGGAGGAGTTTCCCTCTTTTTGCCCAGCCTGGAGTGCAATGGCAGAGTCTCAGCTCACTGCAACCTCTGCCTCCCAGGTTCAAGTGATTCTCCTGCCTCACCCTTCAGAGTAGCTTGATTACAGGCACTCACCACCACGTCCAGCTAATTTCTTTTTATAATTTTAGTAGAGACAGGGTTTCACCTTGAATGCTTGACCTCAGGTGATTCACCTGCCTCGGCCTCCCAAAGTGCTGGGATTACAGGCGTGAGTCATCACACCCGGCCATCAAGCTGGATAATATTAAGGTCTGTTTCTTTCCCAATGTGGGGTATAGGTTGGGACAGGGAAGAGGGCTAGAAACCTGACTCCAACTCCCTGCCCAGGGCTGAACTCTCCAGCATCCCGATCACTTCTCATTCAACCTTGCTTGTACTCCCCCTGTGATGGGGGGCTCATTACCTCACAACAGAATATTCTAAGCAAACCCCTACCCACTCTTACCAAGGAAGATTTCCCATTTGAACCCCAGTTCTCAGATACTTAAAGGCCTTCTGTGGACCACGTTCTCAAAGTCCCCTGGCCATCTGCTTGCCTATTCCAGTTTCTCTCCTTCCCCATCCACATAATGAAATGTGCCCTCCCTCTCTCCAGGATGAGCAAGGTGGTGTCCTCTGAGACTGGGCAGTCAGCCACTTAACACCAAAGGCCACCAATGATCAAATCCACGAGAGTTGATTCCAAGACTTATGTATTAGGACTGAGAAACAGTAAACACTCAGTAAATAGTGGTATTCTTATCATCAGCATCATAATTACTACCTTCAAGTTCCTCCAGGAGAACTCCTATTCAACCTTCAAAACCCCATGTGGTTTCACCCATCTTGCAGAGATTGAGCTCCAATTCAGAGAGTTGTGATTTTGTGATCATTTGATGAGTTCCCAAACTCGGGTCCTTAGAGCAGCTGGCCCATCCCTAAGGTCTCTCAGCATCCAGTTCTGTTCTTTTTCTGCCTTACCAGTTCCTGTGTATAAGCCTCAGTCCTGGTGAGTCCAGCTGAGGAGTGTACAGACACACGCAGTGTCAATTCAAATCTATCACCAGCCCACACGGCCCTGGGCATCAGAGGTCAATGCCCGCACATAGGATTGCTTGGCCTTGCACTCAGACAACCAGTGCCTTTGGTCCATACCCTGGCAGCCCCCTCCACCTGTCCCCGGGTCACCTTCCTCAGAGTTATGGGCCTCAAAGCGGGTGACAAAGAGGTACTGGCAGAGGGAATTGCCCCCAGCTATAGGCACCTTCTCGAACACCTCCATCTCCAAACCACCCAAGTCCACAGCGGTCCCGGGGTCTGTCACCCAGCCGCTGACTGCATCGCACACGGCCAGTTCACTCTGATGACTCGCCAGTGCAGTTTCACTTGCCCCACACTGGCTGTGGTTGGCCGGGGTGCCTGCTAACTCCCGAAAGGCCCCAGTCTCCAGCAGGAAGACCAGAGGGGGCTCAAGAGCAGCACCCCTAGACAGGACCACTTGGGGGAAAAGAAGGTCCCACTTTGGGGCAAGAAAAGGAGACAATGTCCAGGATGGGGATTAGGAATCCATTGACACACTGGGGAGGAGGAAAATGAGGGGGATGCGGAGGGAGTCTGGGGGAGGGGGAGCAGCTCTCACAGCACATGGAGACAGAGTAAGGGAGGCTGGGATTAGAGAAGAGGATTAAAAACTTCAGTGGGGACAGAAGTTGGGAACCCCAGGGGAGGCTTGCCTGCCAGGATTGTGGGGCAGCCCTTGCTGTAGAAGTTTGGGGGACTCTATATATCGGACTTGCATAACGCCCAACTTGTAGATTAATAGTAATTATTCAACTACTACAAGTCAGGCACTGTGCCTCACACCTGTAATCCCAGCACTTTGGGAGGCTGAGGTGGGCGGATCACTTGAGGTCAGGAGTTTAAGAGCAGCCTGGCCAACATGGTGAAACCCCATCTCTACTAATAATACCAAAATTAGCTGGGCGTGGTGCTACGCACCTGTAATCCCAGCTTCTCGGGAGGCTGAGGCAGGAGAATCGCTTGAACCTGGGAGGCGGAGATGGCAGTGAGCCGAGATCGTGCCACGGCCCTCCCACCTGGACAACAGAGTGACACTCTGTCCAAAAATAAAAATAAGGCTGGGCGTGGTGGCTCATGCGTGTAATCCCAGCATTGTTGGAGGCTGAGGGTGGGCAGATCAACTGAGGTGAGGTGTTCCAGGCCACCCTGACCAACATGGAGAAACCCCATGTCTACTAAAAATACAAAATATCCCCGGGAGTGGTGGTGCATACCTATAATCCCAGTTACTCGAGAGGTTGAGGCAGGAGAATCACTTGAAACCAGGAGGCGGAAGTCGCAGTGAGCCAAGATCGCGCCACTGGACTCCAGCCTGGGCAACAAGAACGAAGCTCCATCTCAAAAGAATAATAAGAATCAAATAAAAATAAAAAATATTCAACTACTGTTACTTAATAGCAACAGATCGTGAAATACAGGCTCAGAGAAATTAATGATTTGTGTCCGGTCACACAGTCAACAAATGTAAGAGATGGGACTTAAAGTCTGGGTAACTGCATTCTGCCATCCTTCCTGTACAACTCTGAGGAACCGTGAGTCTTGCATCTTGGGGGATGTTCCAATCAATTATTATTATTATTTTTTGAGACAGAGTCTCACTCTGTTGGCCAGGCTGGAGTGCAGTGGCACAACCCTGGCTCACTGCAACATCTGCCTCCTGGGTTGAAGTGATTCTCCTGCCTCAGCCTTCTGAATAGCTGGGATTACAAACACCTGCCACCATGCCCAGCTAATTTTTATATTTTTAGTAGAGATGGGGTTTCACCATGTTGTCCAGACTGGTCTCAAACTCCCAACCTCAAGCTATACTCCTGCCTTGGCCTCCCAAACGGCTGGGATTACAGGTGTGAGCCACAGCGCCCGGCCCAAAACAAATTGTTTTAAGACAAGGTCTTGCTATGTTTCCCCGCTGCACTTGAACTCCTGGGCTCAAGCAATCCTCCTGCTGTGGCTCCTGAGTAGCTGGGACTACAGACTCAAGCCACCACGCCTGGCCACATTCCACAATTTGGAGAAGGGCCACAACCTGGAATCCTAGGGAGACCCCAGTTCACCTCAAAACTGCCACTAAGGAGGTAAAACGCTGCCCCTCTGAGACAGGCTTCAGTTTTCCCGTGTGTGAAATTGACCTGGCGCTGGGAGAGGCTGGTGGAGGCTTGGATGTTGCAGTTTCTCTACAACATTCTGGAAGCCTGTGGTTCTGGGAAAGGGTGGTGTGGAGAAGACTGGAAAACAGCCAATGGTTACCAGACCTGTCAGCACCTCTTCCACCTCGGAGCTCTTTGGGGGGCCCCTGTGGAGGACATCGCTGTCTCCTTCCTGACATACCAGGAGAGGGAGGGGGAAACCACCTAGGGGAAGAAAAGATCAGGCAGGGTATACAGGCAGGTGGGGAAGGGGGACAAATCGCTGAACAAGTGCAGGGTACTGAAGAGTCAAGGAGCCGCCCCCTTTCCAGAGGCCCCTTTTCTACCCAGGTGATGGCTCCTGACTGGGATTGGAAGATGATGGAGGGAGGGGAGGGGAGAGGAGGGGAAGGGAGAGGCAGTGGATGAAGGAGAATGGAAGAGATGACATCCGCCTCAGCCCATTCATCCCATTCAGGTCCCCACCCCCCAGCTGTACTGCCTATGCCACCCTCAGAGGGAGGAAGAGAGAGCTCGGCCTTGAAGGCTCAGGCCCTGCCCCCTGGAGGCACAATGACCTTGTGACCTTCCTTCTCCCCACAGAAGGCGAGACCATGGACACCTCCTGAGCTGGATGTCATCCCCTGACCCCACCCTGTTTTCTTTTTGTTGTTGTTGAGATGGAGTCTCACTCTGTGGACCAAGCTGGATTGCAGTGGCACCATCTCGGCTCACTGCATACTCCCCCTCCCGGGTTCACGCCATTCTCCTGCCTCAGCCTCCCAAGTACCTGGGACTACAGGCACCCGCCACAACTCCCGCCTAATTTTGTATTTTGAGTAGAGACAGGGTTTCACCATGTTAGCCAGGATGGTCTGGATCTCCTGACCTAGTGATCCGCCCACCTCAGTCTCCCAAAGTGCTGGGATTACAGGCATGAGACACGGCGTCCAGCCATCCACCTTGTATTCTATCAGAGATCTGACAGTGTGACTTTGTAAAAAATGGTTTTGAAGCTGGACCCACCCTGCGTGTGTGTGGTTGCCCTGAGCCCACAGAAAGACACCTCCAGAGTGCAGATTGAGAAGCCTTTATTGCGGGAGGAACGGGTTGTCTGCTGGCTCCAGGAGTCCGGATGGACTTGGAGGGCTGGGGGGAGGGTCCTTTGAGGAAGAGGAGGCCTGGAGGTGGGGGTCATCACAGGTCAAAGGGTGGTCCTTGGGACCCCCACAGTCAGAGGTGCTGCGGCGGCAGAGTGCACAGCGACAGCTGAGAGCCACGGGAACGGAGACCACGGGGTCCACGCCAGGCGGGCAGCCAGGGAGCCGGATGGACTCGAAGCGCACCTCGCGGTAGTTGCACACCACCTGGGGCACTGGCGGCAGGACCGCCTGCAGCACCCGCATCTGGAGGATGTGTGGATAGGGGAGTGAGCATGTGCCTGGGGCCAGCGCCTCCGCTGACCTCCCAAGCTGCCCCCAAAGGTCCCAGACTCAGGAGTCCAGGAAGCCCTCTGTTCCCGCCTCCCACACCCCATTCCCCAGCCCCCGACCAGACAGGCAGACCGCCCTTCCTCCCCCGCTGCCTCTGTGACCCGGCCCTGTGGTGGCAGCACCTGCCCCTGGACCCGGGCAGCTCACCATGGTGGGGCAGTAGCCGGCACAGATGGTGGTGTTGACGGTGATGCACACGGGGCAGGCCTCCTTCTCGGCAGCCAGGGTGGCATTGATGGGGCGGCACAGTGGCCGCAGCGGCTCCCTGGATGCCCGTGCCCCGCCCATGCTCAGCAGCAGCCACAGCAGCAGCCCCTGGGACAAGGACACTGCTTCAGCCCAGTCTGAGACCGCAGCCCCGTGCCCTGGCCCTCCCATTCCCCGGGTACACCACGAGCAACGACCCAGAGACCCTTCCCGGCATCTCCTAGTCAGGACCCACCGCCCAGACACCTGCCTTTCAGCGCCCACCCCACAGCCCAGAGGACCTGAGATACCGCAACATTTCAGAAACCCACCCTCAGGGATTGCCCCACCTGAAGCTTACTGGGGGTCACGTCCCTCCAGAAAGAGGCCTCCTTCCACAGCTCACACGCGTCTGCCCCTTCTCATGCCAGTGATGGCCTGGAAGGAGGTGGAAGGTGCCCAGGGGCCCTGCAGTCTTACCTGGAGCATCTCCATCCTTGGTGCGTCCCCTGCCTCGTGTACCTGGCTTTATACCTCCGGGTTGTGGGGGCGGCAAGGCCACCAGGAGGTGTTAGGATGCTGGGGTGACCTGGACACTAACACCCCCGGGGGTGAGAGGTGCACAAGGCCAGGGAGGCACAGGAGTGGCTCAGCGGAGCACCCCAGCCCTCTCCCCTCAGTGGTCCAGCGCCAAGAGTGAGGCAGAGACCTCGGTGAAGTGACCTCAGAGACTTAGTCGTCCAGTGCTAGGGTCTAGTCGGCGTTGGAGGCACAGGAGTAGGGTGTAGGAAAACCGGCCTCTGCCTATCGTGTGGTCTTGGGAGCCAGGAGGAGGCCGTGACCCGAGAAAGGTGCGGGACTGAAGCCTCAACCCTCCTCCACTTGAGGCATTCCTGCGCCACAGTCCAACCTCCCAGGAGGGGCGCGGCTTCGGACTTAGCTCCTGCCCAGTCCGCGAGGGCCTCCCCGTGACTTTGCAGCAGGGGAAGCCGTTTGACCCAGATGCCCCCCAACGAGGGATTCAGCCAGAGACCTACCTCTCCCTTAGGGACCTCCGCCCACCCTACCCTCAAGCTAGGATGCCCGGAGCGGTCCCCGGAAATGCGTGTGGTTCAGGTAACTTAACTCATTATTTAATACGCCCGCAGGGGGCGCGTCCTGCCCGCGGGGCCACAGTCTTGGAGGAGAATATCTGGACCTAGTCCCTTCTCCGGGATGCCGCAGCTGAGTGTGCGTGTCTGGGGTAGTCCGGCCAGGACATTGCCGGTAGACGTAATGAGTGGTAGCCCAACTAAGTCCGGACACCGCGTAGTGGGCGGAGGTCCGGAGCTTGGCTCCTCCGCGAGGCCAGAGGACGTGTCTGGGGTGGGGCGGGCCCGGCCAGCTCCCACTAGCGCCGACTTCAAGCTGCCGGAGCGGGAGTTCTCGGTGTTGTAGGCTTTCGGCACGCTGTGGATGCCCGGCAAGGGCTTCCAGTGGGGGCCACCCCAGGGCGCCTCCAGCTAGCGGAAGCGGTCCAGCGGGCGGAGCGGGTGCAGCGGGCGGAGCGGGTGCAGCGAGGGGCTGTAGGATGCCTGAACCAGAGTCAGGACCCCGCCGTGCGGCGCTCGGGGCGGCCGGGAGGAGCGCGAACAGGGCGGCCGCTGCGGGTCGTGACCCCAGAGTTAGGGAGTCCCTTCGAAGCTCCAGTAGGTCAGGGAGTCCTTGAGGGGGTATCCGGACAGCTCCTGTGGGAGCAGGGCAGGATGGTGAGGATACAGCTGGATCCTTGGGGACGAGGTTCAGACCTCGGGATTTAAGGAGTCTGCACACCCAAACTCCTGCATTTCCAGGCGAGGGCCCCTTAGGAAGGACGGGACCCGGCGTGCGTAGCCCGTGTTCCTGGGTCCTCGAGGTACTTAAGGTCCTGGAAACTACGCTTTCGCATCCTTCGGAAGGAAACGCGGGCTTTCGCTTCCTTGGGAAGGAGTATCTGGGGGCTCAAGTACCGAAGGAGGCCCAGTCCTCAGATCCAGAATCCCCCTCAGCGCCTGCGCAGGCTTCCTGTCCCTACCTGAGAATTGACACTAAGGCCTCCTGGGTACTAAAAGAGGGAGGGGCTGGGGCCTGAATTTTGGTTCTTGCTGCTACAGGATTCGAGGCTGAGACCACCAGGTCAGAGAATGGGAGCCAGCCCAGAGGCTCGGCGTGTACTGGCCAAGCCGAGTGCTGTGCAGGAGGCGGTGAGGAGCGAGAGCCCGGCTTACTTGGGATAGAACCGAAAGTTCCGGGCCGGGCCGAGGTGGTCAGATAGAGCTGGCGGCGGTCCAGGACGCCCCGGTCGGATACTGTGAAACGTCGGCCAGACGACTCAGGGCTCTTCCTCCAGGCGATTAGAGCCGGAGCAAGATTGGGGGAGGAGGCATACCCAAGACATAGATTTCATACCCCGTTCCAAGCCTTGGGTCCCCAGTTCAGAATCCTTCTTCTTCGGCCTGGACAGCCATGACGGCCACGGTCCTAGAACCCGCCCCAGAGTCAGAGCCCTTCCTGCCACCCACGCCAGGGAACTTCAGCTTCCTTCCTCAAACCCGAACCCTTCCCAGCCTCACTTCCCTAAGTTCAAGCACGTCCTGCTGGTCAGGGAACTCAAACCCAGGCCCCCAGCCACCACAAACCCCCCTCCCCGGTTTCTCTCTGGGTCTTAAACCGTCTTGGTGTGGCCACTGGAGCTGAGCTGCATCTTGAGCAACAATTCCACATTACCTCTCCCAGCTCCCACCTGACGCCGTCTCAGAATATTCTAATCTCGTCCCCACCCACAGCCCGTCGTCTAGCCCCGCAGCAGCTTCGGAGCCCTGAAGGCGAGTGTCCAGCCCCTGGTCCTTCTGGCCTGGCCTCGAGGCCCAGCCCCTCCCCAGGCTCCTCTAACCTCGGGATCCCGCCCCCGACCCTTTAGCCGCGCCCCAAGGCTGTGATTTCTTCTGGCCCCGCCCCAGGCTCCCGGAACTCCGCCCCGTCTCGCCAGCGCCGGCTTCCACCCCGGCACCTGGGAAGGCCCCCCGCGGAGGTGGTCTGGGCGTTGTGGGGGCTGGGCCCCGACGTATTCGGAGACTCGCGCGTCCCGATCGGGAGAGCCAGTGTACTGCGCCCTCGTCTCGCTGCGCTGGTACGTCGTGGTCAGTGGTAGGGGTCAGCCACGGCGTCTGAGCTGGGGAAAGGCGACCCGGAGACCCATGTGAAGGCGCAGGGGACTCAAATGCAGTCTCCCGCCCTGTCCCCCGCGGACTCCGGCACTCCCCAAACCTTACCTTTTCTCCTAAATCCTTGATCCCCACAGTCCGCGTGGGGTCTGCAGGCTCTGGGGCTCTGGGCTGGGCGCAGGGCCCTCCATGGGTCTTGGGCACGTAGGCCCAGCCAGAGGTTGTCTCCCATCTGCTGAGGACCTCGTCGAAAGCCCAGATGCGAGAATCCTGCTTTGCAGCCGGGGGTAGAGGGTCCGCGACCCTGGACTGGAGAGAAGGCGCTGCACATCAGCTAGAAAGACTCAGGAGTCCGTATCACCCCCCACCCCAAGCTCTGACCTCTTCCAGTCGCCCCCCAGACCTTTCCTCTACAGTCCCTGGCATTTAGCTTCCCTGGTGCCTCCTCTCTCAGACCCAGGACTGCAGGACCCTCCTTCAGAGAGGAGTCCAAGCTTCCAATCCGCTTTTCTCAGCCCCCAGCTTTCTGGGTACCCAGTCCCTGAAGGGCTTCAGCCTAGGGTCTGCTCACCTGCACCGTGGGCGGGGTGAAGGGCAGTGGTGGGATAATGCGGCGGGCAAGGCAGCTGCTGGTGAGATGCCAGCTGGGCCAGGATCCAGGTACCTCGGTTGCAGAGATGGAAGACCACAGGGGGCCACAGCGCAGAGCCAGGGTACCACTGGCCATGGTTCCTCCCCCTCCCTGTAGCCAAGCAAGAGCTGGCTTGTTGCTGTTGCTCCGGGTGTCAGTACCCGCCACTCTGAATCCAGCCAATGAAGGGCCTGCAGGCACGTGGCTGGATGGAGTGAAGAAACAGACCTAGAGACAGAGGGACAGGGACCCCAAGAGGGGCACAGAGAAACACGGGGAGGGGGATGGAGAGTCAAAGAGAGGCAGGCAGTAGGGGACGGAGAAGTTCAGGATTTCAGAGACGCAGAGGGTGGGGGAGACAGAGACCCAGAAAGAGGGACAGAGACCTGGGGGTGTCAGAGATCCAGACAGAGACAGAGACCCCTGCACTACAGCCAGCACCTCAGGACATCCATGAGAAACACCCCTCTTTGCTCCAGCATCCAGAACCTCCCAGCTGCTTCCTCCCTCTGCCATACCTGCCCGCCTGGGGTAGACTTCCCGGGGCTCCCCAACCCTTCCCGCACGCACATGCCAAAGAGTCAGCGCTGGCGCGCTGGCGTTGGCTGTCCTACCTGCCTTTGATTTGGTTGAAAACTTCCAACGGGGTAGGCTGGGTCGGGGAAGAGGAAGGACCCACAGAGAAGTGCACAGGGACATAGTGAAAAAGACGAGCTTTGATGAGTGAGAAAGAAATTCAACAAGAAAGGGGAGAGACAGGGAGGAAGAAAGAGACCACGATGGAAAGGGAGCTATTAGTACTAACCCAGAGGTGAGAGACACTGGAAGTTAGAGACAGAGATGAAGGTGGCAAAAAAGACCAAAATCACAGATGGAAAACAAGGAGATATAGAAACTGAGGCAGCCTTGCCGGGCGCGGTGGCTCACGCCTGTAATCCCAGCACTTTGGGAGGCCGAGGCGGGCGGATCACAAGGTCAGGAGATCGAGACCACGGTGAAACCCCGTCTCTACTAAAAATACAAAAAATTAGCCGGGCGCGGTTGTGGGCGCCTGTAGTCCCAGCTACTCGGGAGGCTGAGGGGGCAGGAGAATGGCGTGAACCCGGGAGGCGGAGCTTGCAGTGAGCCGAGATTGCGCCACTGCACTCCAGCCTGGGCGACAGAGCGAGACTCCGTCTCAAAAAAAAAAAAAAAAAGGAAACTGAGGCAGCCACGCCCCAGCCCGCCCAGGGGCCTGGTCTGTATAGATGGGGGGAGGGCATGCCTAAGTCTTTTGCTCAAAGCTAGACCTGAGAGAGAGAGAGAGAGAGAGAGAGAGAGAGAGAGAGAGAGAGAGAGAGAGAGGAGAGTGTTGGTAACACATGTGGGGTGATGGGTAACACGTGAAGGGCCATTGTGAAGGACTGTGGTCTGTCCCTGGCTTCCCTTGGCACTTCTTCACTATAAAGACCTTTAGGTCACCGGGCGCAGTGGCTCATGCCTGTAATCCCAGCACTTTGGGAGGCTGAGGCATGCGGATCACTTGAGGTTGGGAGTCTGAGACCAGCCTGGCCAACATGGTGAAACCCTGTCTCTATCAAAAAATACAAAAAGTAGCCATGCATGGTGGCACACACCTGTAATCCCAACTAAGGCAGGAGAATCACTTCAACCCAGGACGTGAAAGCTGCAGAGAGCTCAGATCGTGCCACTGCACCCTAGCCTGGGCAACAGAGCTAGACTCCATCTCAAAAAAAAAAAAAAGTTTTTGGTCAAGGCCTCTGCCTCCTCAATCCCCATTATCTCATCCCACCAGCCCATTCTTCAGACAAGGAAAACTGAGGCTACCTTCTGCAGCCAGGCCCGGACCCTACTTACCCCTCCTCCCCCATTAAGGCTTCTGGGGCCCTTCTGTTGGATTTTGCTGGCCCTACTCAAGGGCCCTCAGTCCACAGTGACCCCCTGATCCTAGCCAGCGGGCCAGCGAGTTAGAACCTCATGCCCCACTCAAGCTGGACGATTTTTTTTTTTTTTTGAGATGGAGTTTTGCTCCTTTTTTTCTTCCCCTTTTTTTTTTTTTTTTTTTTTTGAGACAGAGTCTCACTCTGTCGCCCAGGCTGGAGTGCTGTGGTGCCATCTCGGCTGCAAGCTCCGCCTCCCGGGTTCATGCCATTCTCCTGTCTCAGCCTCCTGAGTAGCTGGGACTATGGGCGCCCACCACCACCATGCCTGGCTAATGTTTTGTATTTTTAGTACAGACAGGGTTTCACCGTGTTAGCCGGGATGGTCTCGATCTCCTGACCTTGTGATCTGCCCGCCTCAGCCTCTCAAAGTGCTGGGATTACAGACATGACCCACCAAGCCCGGCCCGGAGTTTTGCTCCTTTTGCCCAGGCTGGAGAGCAGTGGAACAGTTTTGGCTCACTGCAACCTCTGCATCCTGGGTTCAAGCAATTATTCTACCTCACCCTCCAGAGTAGCTTGGATTACAGGCACCCGCCACCATGCCCAGCTAATTTCTTTTTGTAATTTTAGTAGAGATGGGGGTCTCACCATGTTGGCCAGGCTGGTCTCGAACCCCTGACCTCAGGTGATTTGCCGGCCTCGGCCTCCCAAAGTGCTGGGATTACAGGTGTGAGTCATCATACCCAGCCATCAAGCTGGACAATTTTAAGGTCTGTTGCTTTCCTGATGTAGGGTAGAGGTTGAGACAGGGAAGAGGGCTAGAAACCTGACTCCAGCTCCCCACCCAGGGCTGAACTCTCCAGCATCCTGATCACTTCTCATTCAACCTTGTTTGTACTCCCCCTGTGATGGCAGGCTCATTACCTCACAAGAGAATATTCTAAGCCAACCCCTACTCACTCTCACCAAGGAAGATTTCCCATTTGAACCCCAGCTCCCAGATACTTAAAGGCCTTCTGTGGACCACATTCTCAAGGTCCCCTGGCCATCTGCTTGCTTATTCCAGTTTCTCTCCTCTCCCACCTCCCTCCCACATCGTGAAATGTCCCCTCCCATTCTCCAGGATGAGCAAGGTGATGTCCTCTGAGACTGAGTAGCCAGCAACTTAACGCCAAGGGCCACCAACGATCAAATCCATGGGAGTTGATCTGAGGAGTTACGTATTAGGGCTAAGAAACAGTAGACACTCAGTAAATAGTGGCTATTATTATTACCATCATCATTATTACCCTCAAGTTGCTCCGGGAGAACTCCTATTCAACCTCCAAAAACCCATGTGGTTTCACCCATCTTGCAGAGATTGAGCTCAAAATCAGAGAACTGTGATTTTGTGATTATTTGATGAGTTCCCAAACTGGAGTCCTTAGAGTAGCTGGGCCATCCCTGAGGTCTCTCAGCATCCAGCTCAGTTCTTTTCCTGCCTGATCAGTTCCTGGGCATGGGTCTCAGGCCCGACCAGTCCGGCTGAGGAGTGTGCAGACGCAGGCAGTGTCAATTCGAATCCATCGCCAGCCCACACGGCCCTGGGCATCAGCGGTCAATGCTCGTACATAGGACTGCTTGGCCTTGCACTCAGACACCCAGTGCCTTCGGTCCACACCCCGGCAGCCCCCTCCACCTGCCCCCGGGCCACCTTCCTCAGTGTTATCAGCCTTGCAGCGGGTTTCAAAGAAGTACTGGCGGAGGGGACTGCCGCCAGCTGCAGGCACCTCGCCCAACACCTCCACCTCGCGCCCACGCAAGTCCACAGCGGTCCGGCGGTCTGTCACCCAGCCGCTGACTGCATCGCACACGGCCAGTTCACCCCGACGACTCGCTGGTGCAGTTTCGCTCACCCCACGCCGGCTGCGGTTGGCCGGGGTGCCTGCTGACTCTCGAAAGGCCCCAGCCTCCAGCAGGAAGAGCAGAGGGGGCCCAGCAGGGGCACCCCTAGACAGGACCACTCGGGGGGACAGAAGGTCCCACTCAGGGGCCAGAAAAGGAGGCAATGTTGAGGGTGGGGGTTGGGACTCAATTGGCACACTGGGGAGGAGGAAAAGGAGGAGGATGGGGAGGGAGCATGAGGGGAGGGGGAGCATCTCTTGGAGCACCTGGAGACAGAGAGCAGGAGGCTGGGATTAGAGAAGGGGGTGAAAACTTCAGTGGGGACAGAAGTTGGGAACCCCAGGGGAGGCTTATCTGCCAGGATTGTGGGGAAGCCCTTGTTCTAGAAGTTTGGGGGACCCTATATCTAGGACTTTCGTAATGTCCAACTTGTAGATTAATAATAAATATTCAACTACTACAGGCCAGCACTGTGGCTCACACCTCTAATCCCAGCACTTTGGGAGGTTGAGGTGGGTGGATCACTTGAGGTCAGGAGTTCGAGAGCAGCCTGGCCAATATGGTGAAAACCTGTCTCTACTAAAAATACCAAAAGTAGCTGGGCATGGTGCTGCGCGCCTGTAATCCCAGCTACACGGGAGGCTGAGGCAGGAGAATCACTTGAACCTGAGAGGCAGAGGTTGCAGTTAGCCGAGAGCGCACCACTGCCCTGCCACCTGGGTGACAGAGACTCTGTTCCAAAAATAAAAATAAGGCCAGGCAAGGTGGCTCACGCCTGTAATCCCAGCACTTTGGGAGGCTGAGGCGGGCAGATCATGAGGTCAGGAGATCGAGACCATCCTAGCTAACACGTTGAAACCCCGACTCTACTAAAAATACAAAAAAAAATTAGCCAGGAGTGGTGGCGGGTGCCTGTAGTCCCAGATACTTGGGAGGCTGAGGCAGGAGAGTGGCGTGAACCCGGGAGGTGGAGCTTGAAGTGAGCCGAGATGGTTCCACTGCACTCCAGCCTGGGCGAAAGAGCGAGACTCCATCTCAAAAAGAAAAAAAAAAAAAAAAGAGAAAACCACAATAATAATAATAATGGTCAGGCATGATTGCTCAGGCCTGTAATCCCAGCACTTTGGGAGGCTGAGGCGGGTGGATCTCGAGGTCAGAAGATCGAGACCATCCTGGCTAACAGGATGAAACCTCATCTCTGGGCCGGGCGCGGTGGCTCAAGCCTGTAATCCCAGCACTTTGGGAGGCCGAGGCGGGCGGAACACAAGGTCAGGAGATTGAGACCACAGTGAAACCCCGTCTCTACTAAAAATACAAAAAATTAGCCGGGCGCAGTGGCGGGCGCCTGTAGTCCCAGCTACTCAGGAGGCTGAGGCAGGAGAATGGCGGGAACCCGGGAGGCAGAGCTTGCAGTGAGCCGAGATCGCGCCACTGCACTCCAGCCTGGGCAACAGCGTGAGACTCCGTCTCAAAAAAAAAAAAAAAAAAAAGAAACCCCATCTCTACTAAAAATACAAAGAACTAGCTGGGTGCAGTACCGGGCCCCTGTAATACCAGCTACTTGGGAAGCTGAGGCAGGAGAATGGCGTGAACCCAGGAGGCGAAGCTTGCAGTGAGCCGTGATTGCACCACTGCACTCCAGCCTGGGCGATAGAGCGAGACTCCGTCTCAAAAAAAACAAAAGAAAAAAATAATAATAAAATAAATTCAACTACTATTACTTAATAGCAACAAATGTTGAAATACAGGCTCAGAGAAGTTAATGATTTCTGTCTGGTCAGGCAGCCAGCAAATGGCAGAGATAGGACTTAAACTCTGGGCAACTGCATTCTGCCATCCTTCCTGTACAACTCTGAGGAACCGAGAGTCTTGAATCTTGGAGGATGTTCAAAACAAGTTTTTTTTTTTTTGGTTTTAGACAGGGTCTCACTCTGTTGGCCGGGCTGGAGTGCAGTGGCTCAATCACAGCTTACAGTAATGTCTGCCTCCTGGATTCAAGGGATTCTCCTCCTGCCTCAGCCTTTTGAGTAGGTGGGATTAAAAGTGCCTGCCACAGGTTTTCAGCTAATTTTTGTATTTTTAGTAGAGATGGGGTTTCGCCATGTTGGTCAGAGTGGTCTTGAACTCCCAACCTCAAGTGATACTCCTACTCTGGCCTCCCCAAGTGCTGGGATTACAGGCATGAGCCATGGCACCTGGTCCCAAACAAATTGTTTGGTTTTTTTTTTTTTTTTTTTGAGACGGAGTCTCGCTCTGTCACCCAGGCTGGAGTGCAGTGGCGCGATCTCGGCTCACTGCAAGCTCCGCCTCCCGGGTTCACGCCATTCTCCTGCCTCAGCCTTCCGAGTAGCTGGGACTACAGATGCCCGCCACCACGCCCGGCTAATTTTTTGTGTATTTTTTTTAGTAGAGATAGGGTTTCACCATGTTAGCCAGGATGGTCTCGATCTCCTGATCTCGTGATCCTCCCGCCTCGGCCTCCCAAAGTGCTGGGATTACAGGCGTGAGCCACCGCGCCCGGCCACAAATTGTTTTAAGACCAGGTCTCGCTATATTTCCCCGCTGCACTTGAACTCCTGGGCTCAAGCAATCCTCCTGCTGTGGCTCCTGAGTAGCCGGGACTACAGACTCAAGCCACCATGCCTGGCCACATTCCACAATTTGGAGAAAGGCCACAACCTGGAATCCTAGGGAGACCCCATTGCACCTCAAAACTGCCACTAAGGAGGGAAAATGCTGCCCCTCTGAGACAGGCGTCAGTTTTCCCGTGTGTGAAATTGACCTGGCGCTGGGAGAGGCTGGTGGAGGCTTGGATGTTGCAGTTTCTCTACAACATTCTGGAAGCCTGTGGTTCTGGGAAAGGGTGGTGTGGAGAAGACTGGGAAACAGTCAGTGGTTACCAGACTTGTCAGCACCTCCTCCACCTCGGAGCTCTGGGGCTGGGAGTCCCCAGGCTTCGGGGGGCCCCTGTGGAGGACACAGGTGGCCCCCTCCTTCCTGACATCTCAGGAGAGGGAGGGGGCAACCACCTAGGGGAAGAAAGGAATAGACAGGTTATAGAGGCAAGTGGGGGAGGGGTCAAATCCCTGAACACCCCCTCCCCAGAGTTCCTCTTGAAGTTCAGGGTACCCAAGAGTCAAGGCCCCGCCCCCTTTCCAGAGGCCCCTTTTCTACCCAGGTGATGGCTCCTGGCTGGGATGGGAAGCAGATGGAGGGAGGGGAGGGGAGAAGAGGGGAAGGGAGAGGCAGTGGATGAAGCAGGCTGGAAGAGATGACATCCCCCTCGGCCCATTCATCTCCCAGAGGGGGCGGAACTGACCTGGACACCTGGGTCCCTGAGGGCCCACACTCAAGAAGCCCTGGTTCCCCAAGCTGCTTCCTGGAATGTTCCCTCCTCACAGGACAGGCCAGGGCCCGCCCAAGACTTCTGCACATACCTGGAGTGACTGCCTGCCCTGGCTCCTCCGTACAGGAAAGGGGAAGGGTGGAGAGTGAAAGGAGCCCAGGCTGACCCAACCAGGACTGCCTTCTCCTTCACACCCCAGGGCCTCCACCTTCAGACCCAGGAGTTCAGATCCCCAGCGCCCTCCTCCCTCAGACCCAGGAGGAATCCAGGCCTCCAGCACCCTTCTCCCTCAGACCTAGGAGTCCAGGCCCCCAGCGCCCTCCTCCTTCAGACCCAGGAGTCCATGCCCCCAGCACCCTTCTCCCTCAGACCTAGGAGTCCAGGCCCCCAGCGCCCTCCTCCCTCAGACCCAGGAGTCCATGCCCCCAGCACCCTTCTCCCTCAGACCTAGGAGTCCAGGCCCCCAGCGCCCTCCTCCCTCAGACCCAGGAGTCCATACCCCCAGCGCCCTTCTCCCTCAGACCCAGGAATCCAGGCTCCCAGCACCCTCCTCCCTCAGACCCAGGAGTTCTAGAATTCAGGCTCCTCCTTCTCGGGTACTAAGAAATGCAGACTCCGGGTTCCTCATCCTCCAGATTTGGGTGGGGGCTCTGGACTCCTGAGACCCCTCAGGGGAAACCGGCTGCGTATCTGGGACACTTCCCTCCTGCCTCAGTTTCCTCAGCCAAGCCCCGCCCCCGTCGGCCCCGCCCCCGTCCCTCCCCACCCGAGGGCAGGGCGACCAGGACGCCGGAATCCCGGGGGAGGAGGCGCGGAGCTCTTACCTGGGGCGCCCTCTTCGACTCCCCCAGCTGCCCTCGGCCCAGCAGCAGCTCCTCCTCCTGCTCGCTGGCTGCAGGGACGCTCGCTGGCCCGCCGGCTGCTCGCTGCTCACTCTCGGCAGGGCCCGGGGCGGGGGCGGGGGCGGGGCGGCGCCGGACGGCAGAGGAGGGGCCGGGGGATCCTGCCTTGCACAGGCGTGCCGGGACCTTGGAAGCCAGGCCTGGCTCGTTCAACCCGGCCGCATTGGTCACAGGAGTCCCAGTCTCCAGCTGCCTCCTCCTTTAGACCTAGTAGTCCAGGTCCCCAGCCCCTCCTCCCTCAGACCCAGGAGTCCAGGCATCCAGCCCCTCCTCCCTCAGACCCGGGACTTGCGACCCCAGCCACTTCTCCCCCGAGCCCCAGGCGCCTGAGTACTAAGCCCACAGTTCCCCCCACCACCTCCCAACCCCGCCCCGTCTCAGACTCAGGAGTCCAGCCCCCAGCCTCCTCCTCCATTAGCCCCAGGAGTCTGGGCCTGAGATTCCTTTGCCGTCTTTTGCCAATTGCGTGTCAATCCCGGGGCAGATTCCCACTCTCTGCTCTCCTCCCCACTTCCCAGGAGCTCCACGCCAGACATTAACCAGCTGGGCTTGGGCAGTGATAAGGCCCCAGGCCCGGGGAGACAGTGGATGTGGGGGCTCCCGCATACTCCTCTCCCCTGGAATTTCCTGGATGGGGACCGGGGAGAGGGTCTTGTCCTGAGCTCAGATAAGAGACATGCAAGGTATTATAGGACCCAGAGATAGACAGATGTGTCTTAAGAACAATCAGCTCCTTCCAGAAATGGTGCGCGGTGACAGATGAAGGCATGGAAAAGTGGGGAGAGACCAAAAGAAAGAGGGGGATCAAGACTAGAGAGAGTGGGGGAGGGCAGAAGCCCAGAGAGAAGACAGAGGCCCAGAGAGACTGAGGGCAGACCCTCCGGAGAAGGGGACAGAGCCCCTGAGAGACCCTCAGAAAGACAGGGATGGGATCGGAGCTAGAGCGTCTCAGGACAGTCATGAGGGCAGCCGGGCTCCTCACCCCACCACACCTCCACCCTGAGACTCTGCCTCCCTCTGCCTGTGCTATTTTCAGAAGGAAAATTGACACCTGCCTCAGGGGTCATCCCACACCCCCTCAGCCTAAATATAGCATGGCAAGGTGGCAGGAGGGTGTCCCCGGTTAGGGTGTTTCCTGCTCCTCACAGTTATTTATTGGTGGGGGGAAGGGCCACTTCCCAGGCTTTGGGTGTGTGTTCGGGTCACCTCTCTGGCTTCTCCACATTTCCCTGTTCCTAAACACCCAATACATCCTGCCCCATAGCAGGAGGACTCTAGACTCTAGCTTCTAGCTTCTAGTCCTGGAGGGGATAGTAGGGATGAGGTTTCCAAACAGAGTGACTGAGAAACAGTCTCTGTCCTCTCCCTGTCTGGATCTCTGTCCTCCTGTCTCTGGATTTCTGTCTCCCTCCAACTCTGGGTCTGTCCTTCTCTCTCTGGGTCTCTGTCCCCCCTCTCTCTGAGTCTCTGGCCCCCTCTCTCTCTGGATCTCTGGCCCCCTTCTCTGTGGTCTCTGTTCCCCCCCCAGGTGCCTGTTCCCCCCCCCCCCCGCTTTCTGGGTCCCAGTTTTCTTCTCTGGATATCTGTCTACCCTCACTGGGTCACAGTCTCCTTCTCTCTGAGTCTCTTGCATCCTCTCTCTTGGGGTCACTATCTGCTTCTCTTTCCCATTGTGGGGGTCTCTGTCCCCACTCCCGGCCATCTGCCCTCTTCCCCCTCGCCCTTGGATTTCTCTCTTTTGCTCTGGGCCCCTCCTCCCTCCCGGCCTCAGTTCGTCTCTGCATCTCCTCTTTAGGTCTCTGTGCTGGAGTGTGACTTGTCTCTTGTCACTGTGAGGTCCATCTCCATTCTATCCCTAAATGTGGCTTTCTCTCCATTTCAGAGACAAGTGACTACCTAAAGCTTCTATTAATTTCAACCATTATCAAACTCTTCCCACCATCTGTACCTTCGTCTCTTTAGCTGTATGAACAGGTGCTCAGATGAAACCAGGGGTTTCCACACTGAATTCCTGAGCTGCATTTCGAGTTGCCAAGAGGAGGCGTGTTCTCCTCCAAGCAGTTCCCTTCCCATGCTTCCCACTGGTGTCTCTAAGGAAGATTTATTTGACCCAAAAAAGGGGTGGGTATGGCTAAAAATAACAACAACAGTCTGTAAACCACTGGATAGGTTTTAATAAATTAATCCAAGTAAAGTACTTTGATACCAAAGGAAGCCCTATATGTGTTAGTGATTTCAGCCTTCCTTCTCCTCTAAATGCCCTTTGAGTTCTGAAAGAATTCTGAAAATGTTCGGCCTTGTGACCTTGGGTAACCTCCGCCGCTCTGAGCCTCAGTTTCCCTGTCTGTAAGAAATGAGGCTATGGAACTCAGGAGGACCTGTGTGTCCCAGCAGGCTGACGGGACCATGTGAAGCAGACAGACAGCCTGCCTGGCCCCTGGGGACAAGCTGCGAGACCTTGGGAAGCCACTCCCCTGCTCTGAGACTCAGGTTTCTCCCCTGGAAAACAGAGTGAGGCCCCCAGCCTGTCTGACAGCCTTCCTGAGCTTCGGGGAGGGTAGGTGACAGGCCTGGTTCAGGATCGTTCTGTGATTCTATGGAATAGACTGTACGTCACTCTTGGGTTCGGGGGCACCAACTTTTTCTACCTTTTTCTTCTTCTTTTTTCTTTTTTTTTTTTTGAGACGGAGTCTCGCTCTGTCGCCCAGGCTGGAGTGCAGTGGCGCGATCTCGGCTCACTGCAAGCTCCGCCTCCCGGGTTCACGCCACTCTCCTGCCTCAGCCTCCGGAGTAGCTGGGACTAAAGGCGTCCGCCACCGCACCCGGCTAATTTTTTTGTATTTTGAGTAGAGACGGGGTTTCACCATGTTAGCCAGGATGGTCTCCATCTCCTGACCTCGTGATCTGCCCACCTCGGGCTCCCAAAGTGCTGGGATTACAGGCGTGAGCCACGCGCCTGGCCTTTTCTGCCTTTTTCTATTGTGGTTCTCTTTCCCTGAGACTCTGTTGTTCTGTCTCTAACTCTGGGTGCCTGACACTGCCCCCTGGGTCTCTGTCCCCCCACTCTTTTTGTTTGTTTGTTGAGACGGGGGCTCCCTCTGTTACCCAGGCTGGAGTGCAGTGATGCAATCATGGCTCAATGCAGCCTCTATTTCTCAGGGTCAAGGGATCCTTCTGCCTCAGCTTCCTGAGTAGCTGGGATCACAGGCATGTGCCACCACAGCTAATTTTTATATTTTTTGTAGAGATGGGGTCTCACCATGTTGCCCAGGCTGGTCTTGAACTTCTGGCCTCAATCAATCCCCCTTCCTTGGCCTCTCAGAGTGCTGAGATTACAGGTGTGGGCCACTTCGCCCGGCTTCTATCCCCTGCTCTTGGTCTCTGTCACCTTCTCACTCTGGATTTCTGTTCCCCTTTTCTGCATCTCTGCCATACCCCACCCTCCAGGTCTTTGTCTTCCTCTCCCTGAGTCTCTATGTTGCTCCCTTTGGGTCTCTGTCTCTCTGGGTTTCCATCTCTTCCTTTTTCTGGGTCTCTTTCCCCATCCTTTTGGCTCTGTCCCTCTATCATGTCTGGACAGAGTACAGTTTTCTCCCCCTCTCCCCCTTCCCTTGTGGCTCTGACCTCCATGTCTGAGCATAGAACTGTAGGGGAGATTGGGGGTGAACAGCACAATAAAGTGGATGTGGGGTAAAGAGGAGGAGCATCCACCTTTTCCTAGTTCACCCCAGTCACCTCTGGATGAACACCCAATCCCATGGATAGAGAATCCAGTCCCACCCCCTACAGTGAGCTGGGGAGCCAGCTCAGCACATCTCCCAGAGCCCTCGCCACCGCATTTGCTCCCTGATACACGATACTTCCTCATTGCTATTACCTTTGGGTCCTGGTGCTACCACTAAACGCAAAACAGCCCGATGTGGCCCTATGGAACTCACTCACACAGTCCAACTCAACCCAACTTCCTGTAGGACTCACATAGTGACACAACTCAATGGAACTCAACTCAACATGGCCCTATGAGATTCAAACAGTGGCATGACCCAACTGAACTGGCCTTACAAGGCCCATATGGTTGTATAACTCAACACAACTCAACTCGCTGTGGCCGTGAAAAATGTCTAGCCACACACCTCTACACAATTCAGCCCAGCAGAATTCTACAAGATTAATTTGGTCATACATACTTAACCCAATGTTACCTAGAAAGCTCAAATTCTACCACTTGACTCTTTACATTTCTACATGACTCACAAGTTCACAGAACTTAAAATAACATGGCCCTGGAAGAATCACAAAGCTACACAATTTCCACCATGTCTCAATGAAACTGAACACCACACACAATCAATCTCAACCATGCCATGGGGGACCATCTAACTTGACCCAACATGGCCCTAGGGGACCCACCAAACCACAGAATCCTACATAATGCAGCTAGACAACACTCACCCAGACTCACAACCCAACGAAACCCAACACTGACTAGGAAACTCACAAAATGATATGACCAAACCTATCTCAACACTACCCCAAAAGGCTCCATGAGCTTTGCACAACTCAGTGTAATATGAACCAATTGAGTCTTCATTAACACAACACAACTCATTGCCATTCGCTGCTGCTTCAGGAGATACCCACAGGAGCTACCAAACCACACAACCCAAGACCCAACAAGACTCAGTGTTTCCCCACTCGTTACCACTTAACCTAGCTCTTCCTAAACCCAATCCCCTCCCCCCAGCCTTGCCCTCCACCCTGCCCTCCCTCCCTCCCTCTAGGGAGGTGTGAGGTCCTGCAGACCTCAACTGTCCCTCACACTTCGGTGACCAGATGTTTCCCTGGGGGTGCCCAGAGTGGAGGTGGTAGCTCAGGTACCTCCCCATCCACCAGCCCCCCATTGGCCTTGCCCTCCAGTGGGCCACAAGGCTGCGTGTCCACATGGCTGAACATCCCAGCCTCTTCGCCCTCTGTCTCCCGGTGATAAAAGTAGCTGAAATTGGAGACAATGACGGGCACAGGCAGGGAAATGGTCAGCACGCCGGCAATGGCACACAGAGAGCCCACTATCTTGCCACCTACAGTGACAGGTGCCATGTCTCCATAGCCAACTGTAGTCATGGTGACCACCGCCCACCAGAAGGACTCAGGGATGCTAGTGAAATGGGAGTCCACCCGGTCGACTTCGGCAAAGTAGACCGCGCTGGAAAAGAGGACCACACCGATGAAGAGGAAAAAGATGAGGAGGCCCAGCTCACGCATGGAGGCCCGAAGCGTCTGGCCCAAGATTTGCAGGCCCTTTGAGTGCCGGGACAGCTTGAAGATGCGGAAGACACGCACCAATCGGATGACTCTCAGGATGGCCAGTGACATGGCCTGTTGGCCCACCCCTCGCTGCCGGGCCAGCTCGGTGCCTAGTGCCACAAAGTAGGGCAGGATAGCCACAAAATCGATGAGGTTCATCACGTTCTTGAAGAAGATCGCCTTGCTTGGACAGGCCAGGAGGCGTACTAGCAGCTCAAAGGAGAACCAACAAATACACAGCGTCTCCACTACGAAGAATGGGTCATTGAAGGGCAGGCGGGGTGGATTTCCAGGCACTTGGCTGGAGCCATTCAGCCGAGCGGGGAACTGCAGGGAGGAAAGTGTTCAGGGAGGGTCAGGCTGGGGCGGGGACACGGGGACAATCTTAATCATCATTTAAATACCCAGCTCCTCTTTACACACTGGTCAGTAGCCGCTGCACCAAGGCCCTCGGTGACCTGGTTGTCCCAGACTTCCTCCCAGGATCCCAGGAATCATCCCTGGGCCATTGACTTTCTGGTTTCCTGACCTGGTGGGTGGCTGGAGAGGTGGTTCCTGCCCCTTCATGCCTGGGAACTCATGTTTGAGTAGGGTGCAACCTCTTCTCTCCGAAAGTCCCGCCTCCACTGTTGATTTTCTAGATGCGGAGGGTCCCTGCCACGGCCCCACCACCTTGTGCCTAGCTTTTCCTTGCCCTCCCCTGTCCCAGCCCAGACTATAATGCGGCCGAGCGCGGTGGCTCACGTCTGTAATCCCAGCACTTTGGGAAGCTGAGGCGGGCAGATCACGAGGCCAGGAGATAGAGACCATCCTGGCCCACATGATGAAACCCAATCTCTACTAAAAATACAAAAATTAGCCGGGCGTGGTGGCCTGCACCTGTAATCCCAGCTACTTAGGAGGCTAAGGCAGGAGAATCGCTTGAACCCGGGAGGCGGAGTTTGCAGTGAGCCAAGATAGCGTCATTGCACTCCAGCCTGGGCGACAGAGCAAAACTCTGTCTCACAGAAAAAAAAAAAAAAAAAAAAAAAGACCTCTGCAAGCTGAGCACTAGGCTCCTCCTCTGGCCCCTAAGCCTGGCTTTCTTTCCATAGATTCCTCCTACTCTTACCCCTCGGGCTCCAGCACCCTCAGCTGGCGTTATTCAGGGCCTGGCTTTCATCACCCCCAGCACATCCTTCCCAGCCGCACAGACCCCGGAGTTTTCAGGCTCTCCTGGGGCCCCTCAGCTCTGATTTTTAAGGTTCCTGTCCTCCTACCCCTTGCACCAAGCGCCCTGCCCTCTGCTCACCGGGTTTCTCACTGACCTCAACCCCACCTTCTGATGGGGCCGGTCCTCCGACTTGGATCCTCAGGCCCCGCCTCCCGTCCACCCTGTCTTTGGCTGGCCCACCCCTCGCAGCCCCTGGCCCCGCCTTATTATTGGCCAGGTCCCCTCTGGACCCCGCCCATCTCCTCCCAAACCCCGCCCATCTCCACCCACGCCCCGCCTCTCACCGGGCCAGCTGCGGCTACAGCAGCAAGCCCCGGGTCGTCGCGGTCGTCGCGGAAGTCAGGCAGCGTCTCGAGGCAGAAGACGACGATGGAGACGAGGATGACCAGCACCGAGACTACGGCGAGCACGCGCGCGGCCTGCGAGCTCTCGGGAAACTCGAAGAGCAGCCACAGCTGGCGCGCGAAGGCGCGGCGGGGCAGGGGGCGCTCAGGCGGCACCGGGCAGCCCTCGTCCTCGCGCAGGCGCGCCAGGGCCGCCGCGCCCAGCCCGTAGAAGGCCACCTCCTCCAGGAAGACGTCGAGCGGCACGTGCGCCGGCCGCCGCAGCCGCCCGCCCGACTGGTAGTAGTAGAGCACGGCGTCGAAGCTGGGCCGGTGCCGGTCGAAGAAGTACTCGCGGCGTGCGTCGTCGTAGAAACGGCCGCGGCGCGCGGGGTCCCCTAGCAGAGTGTCCGGGAAGCGGCCCAGCGTGCGCGCCCGCGTCTCGAAGCGCAGCCCCGCCACGTTGAGCACCAGCCGCTCGCAGCAGCCGCACGGCGGCGGGCACCGCGGCTCCATGGCGCGCGCAGCCCCGGCGACCCGCGAACGGACGTGTGGCCCCGATGCCCGGCCCCGGTGCGGCCCCGCCTCGGCCGCCGCCGCCGCCCCAGCCCCAGCTCGGTGTCCGGTGTCCGCGCGTAAAAATAGCCCGGCAGGGCGGCCAGGGCGCGGGGGAGGGGGCACTGTGACCCCAGCGGAGCGGAGGGCGACAGGGCGACCGCGCGCCCTCTGCCGGGACGGCCGACCTGCCCCGCCGCCGCCGCCAGCGCCTGCTCTGTGCCTTTGCCGTCCCGGGGTCCCCTTTCCCTCTGTCCCTCTGCCGCCGGGATCCTGTCCTGCGTCTCTCCAAGTTTCCATGTGCGTGTGTCTCGTCAGAATCTGAGCCTTCGGTTGCAGCGGCCTCTTTTCTTTTTCCTTTCTTTTTATTTTATTTTATTTTATTTTATTTTATTTTATTTTATTTTTGAGACACAGTTTCCCTCTGTCGCCCAGGCTGGAGTGCAGTGGCAGGATCTCGGCTCACTGCAACAACCTCTGCCTCCCGGGCTCAAGCGGTTCTCGTGCCTCAGCCTCCCTAGTAGCTGGAATTACAGGTGCCACCAAGCCCGGCTAATTTTTTTTTTCTTTTTTCTTTTTTTTTTTTCAGTAGAGACGGGGTTTCGCCATGTTGGCCAGGCAGTTCTGGTACTCCCGACCTCAAGTGATATTTCCGCCTTGGCCACCCAAGGTGCTGGGGTTACAGGGGTGACCCGCCACACCCGGCCTGGAGTTGCCTTTTTGCACCTCTGTCTCTCTCTTGTGTTTCTGTATCCAGCTGTCCCCTGTGGGTCTCTGTCTCTGTTGGGATGTATCTCTGAGTATCTCCATGAGTCATGTATTTCTGAGATTCGTCGTTCCGGGCCCCTCTGTATGGGTCCGTCTGCCAGCCTCTACGTCTTCATCTCCGTCTTTATTTTGACTCTTGGTCTGTCTCCGTTTATCTCTTGTCTCTCTTGGTCTCTTTGTCTCTCCTCTCTAGGTCTCTTTTTGCTCATTATCTCTTAGCCCTCCATGCCTCTGCCTCAGGCTTCCTCTCCCCCTCCCCTTTGGGTCTCCCCTTAGCGTGCCTAGAGGACTTAGAGTCTCGGGAGTCATTATCTCTGAATCTCTCCCTGACCATCACCCCATGTGGGTCCTGCCACAGTCCCGCTGGCTGTCCCGTCCTAGGGTCACTCTGGCAGCTGCAAACCACTGAGCAGTGCACGCACGCCCCATTCTCTCCCCAGAGTTCGCCCTGGAGTCTCCACCTGGCTTCTTCGCAAGACTTTGAGATCCAGCAGGGCCTGAGCTGTGGCTATGACTCTCGCAAAAGGAGGCTGGGCTTGCCAGGAACGGGTGGGGGTTGAGGGTGTGGGCCAGGGAGATGCCACAGGGTCATTCTCAGGAACTGAAGGGCGTAGAGACAAGACGGTGGCCTTCTAGGCACTGGTGTCCGGTGACACTGCATAAAAATAGCCCCATCGGATGGGCTTGGGGGAAGTGGAGGGGATTGATCACCGAGACTCCCAGGAAAGAACTCCCGGTCGCCCTCTGCTGGGGGTGTGGAGAGAGGCACTAAGTGGTTAGAACACCCTGCTAATCCTGGCGCTCTTTATCTGTCTTCTTTCCTTCCATTCCTGCTTCCTTCCTCCCTTCCTCCCTTCTCTATCTTTTCTTTTCTTTCTTTTTTCTTTCTCTTGAGACAGTTTCACTCTTGTTGTCCAGGCTAGAGTGCAGTGGTGTGATCTCAGCTCACTGCAACCTCTGCCTGCGAATTTCAAGCGATTCTCCTGTCTCAGCCTCCTGAGTAGGTGGGATTCCAGGCACCCGTCACTATGCCCACCTAATTTTTGTATTTTTAGTAGAGACAGGGTTTCACCATGTTGGCTAGGCTGGTCTCAAACTCCTGACCTCGTGAACTGCCTGCCTTGGCCTCCCAAAGTACTGGGATTACAGGTGTGAGCCACTGCTCCCAGGCCTTTCTTTTTCTTTTACTTTTTTTTTTTTTTTTTTTTGAGACAGAGTCTTGCACAGTTGCCCAGGCTAGAGTGCAGTGGCGCGATCTTGGCTCACTGCAACCTCCGCCTCCTGAATTCAAGCAATTCTGCTGCCTCAGCCCCCCGAGTAGCTGGGATTACAGGCGTCTGCCACCACACGAGGCTAATTGTATTTTTAGTAGAGGCGAGGTTTTGCCATGATGGCCAGGCTGGTCTCAAACTCCTGATCTCAGGTGATCTGCCCACCTCAGCCTCCCAAAGTGCTGGGATTACAGGCATGAGCCACCGCACCCCGCGCTCTTCTTTCTTTCTCTTTCTTTTCTTTTCTTCCTTTTTCTTTCCTTTTTTTTTTTTTTTTTGAGATGGGGTCTCACTCTGTCACCCAGGCTGGAGTCTAGTGGCACTGCTCACTGCAGCCTCAACTTTCTGGGCTCAAATTATCTCCCAGTTTTTTTTTTTTTTTTTTTTTTTTTGAGCCAGGGTTTCTCTCTTGTTGCCCAGGCTGGAGTGCCATGGTGCAATCTTGGCTCACCGCAACCTCCGCCTCCCAGGTTCAAGTGATTCTCCTGCCTCAGCCTCTCAAGTAGCTGGGATTACAGGCATGTGCCACCATGCCCAGCTAATTTTGTATTTTTAGTAGAGACGGGATTTCTCCATGTTGATAGTCTGGTCCGAACTATTGACCTCAGGTGATCTGCCTGCCTTGGCCTCCCAAAGTGCTGGGATTACAGGTGTGAGCCACCATGCATGGCTATTTTTTGTAATTTTTGTAGAAGCGGGGTCTTGCTATGTTGCCCAGGCTGGTCTTCTACTCCTGAGCTCAAGCAATCCACCATACTAGACCTCTCCTAGTGCTAGGATTACAGGTGTAAACCACCGTACCCACCCTTTTTGGGGTGCTGTGTCCCCTGGACTTCTGTATCCCTCTCTCTGGGTCTCTATCTTCCCTCTAAGTCTGTTCATTTATTTCATGGTCTTTGGCCTTCTCTATTTCTCTTTGTCCCCCAACTTTCTGGTCTCTGTCTCCTCTTTTCTCCCATTCTCGTTTTTTCTTGTTTGTTTGTTTTAGCTTTTGTTTTGAGTCAGAGTCTTGCTCTTGTTGCCCAGGCTGGAGTGCAGTGGCACAATCTCGGTTCACTGCAACCTCCGCCTCCCGGGTTCAAGTGATTCTGCTGCCTCAGCCTCCTGAGTAGCTGGGATTACAGGCGTGCACCACCACACCAGCTAATTTTTTTTTTTTTTGAGATGGGGTCTCGCTGTGTCGCCCAGGCTGGAGTCCAGTGGTATGATCTTGGCTTACTGCAACCTTTGCCTCCTGGGTTCAAGTGATTCTCCTGCCTCAGCTTCCCGAGTAGCTGGGATTACAGGTGTGCGCAACCACACCAGGCTAATTTTTGTATTTTTAGTAGAGATGGGGTTTCACCATGTTGGCCAGGCTGGTCTCAAACTCCCAACCTAATGATCCGCCCACCTCGGCATCCCAAAGTGCTGGGATTACAAGCGTGAACCACCGCGCCCAACCTAATTTTTGTATTTTTAGTAGAGATGAGGTTTCATCATGTTGGCCAGGCTGGTCTCGAACTCCTAACTTTAAGGGATCCACCTGATACGGCCCCCCAAAGTGCTGAGATTACAGATGTGAGCCACCGCACCCAGCCAAGGTGCCATTTTTTCTCAATAAGTTAGAACAAAATTTAAAAGGTGGGTCAGGCACTGGGCTCACTCCTGATATCCCAGCACTTTGGGAGGCCAAGGTGGCTGGATTGCCTGAGGTCAGGAGTTCAAGACAAGCCTAGTCAACATGGTGAAACCCTGTCTCTACTAAAAATACAAAAATTAGCTGGGTAGGGTGGCTCGCGCCTGTAATCCCAGCTACTCTGGAGACTGAGGAGGGAGAATCACCTGAACCTGGGAGGCGGAGGTTGCAGTGAGCTGAGATGGCACCACTGCACTCCAGCCTGGGCGACAGAATGAGACTCTGTCTCAAAAACAAAACAAAAAGCCAGGTGTGGTTGTGCACCCCAGTAATCCAGCTACTTGGGAGGCTGAGGTGGAAGGATCATTTAAGCCAAGGAAGTCAAGGCTACAGTGAGCTATGATCACACCACTGCGCTCTAGCCTGCTTGACAAAGGAAGACCCTGTCTCTAAAAAATAAAAAATTAAGGCTGATGAGTTAGGGAGATTATTTTGGATCAGTTGGGTAGGCACACTAATCATAAAGGTCTTTAAAATAGGGATGTGGCTGGGCACTGTGGCTCACGCCTGTAATCCCAGCACTTTGGGAGGCTGAGGTGGGTGGATCACCTGAGGCCAGGAGTTCAAGACCAGCCTGGCCAACATGGCAAAACCCCATCTCTACTAAAAATAACAAAAATTAGCTGGGCATGGTGGCGGTCGCCTGTAATCCCAGCGACTGGGGAGGCTGAGGCAGGAGAATTGCTTGCACCCAGGAGGTGGAGGCCTCAGTGAGCCAAGACTGAGCCACCGCACTCCAGCCTGGGCAACAGAGTGAGATTCTGTCTCAAAAAATAAAAAAAATAAATAAGAGGGATGCAGGAAGGTCTGATTCATGGAAGATGTGAGGATGGACATAGAGGTCAGAGAAGAGAGGATGCCAATGGTGCTGGCTTTGAAGTTTGAAGACGGAGGAACAGCCATGAGCCAAGGAATGGGGGTGGCTTCCTGAAGCTAGAAAAGGCAAGGAAACAGACTCTCCCCTGGAGCCTCCAGAAGAAACACAGCCCTGCCACCCCATTTTAGACGTCTAACTTCTAGAACTGCATTCTTTTTTTTTTTTTTTTTGGAGACGGAGTCTCGCTCTGTCACCCAGGCTGGAGTGCAGTGGTGTGATCTCGGCTCACTGCAATTTCTGCCTCCCGGGTTCACGCCATTCTCCTGCCTCAGCCTCCCAAGTAGCTGGAACTACAGGCGCCCGCCACCATGCCCGGCTAATTTTTTTTTTTTGTATTTTAGTAGAGATGGGGTTTCACCATGTTAGCCAGGATGGTCTCGATCTTCTGACCTCGTGATCCACCCGTCTCGGCCTCCCAAAGTGCTGGGATTACAGGCATGAGCCACCGTGCCTGGCCTAGAACTGCATTCTAATAAACTTGTGTTGTTTTAAGCCACTAAGTTCTTGGTAAGTTGTAGTGGCAATAAGAAAATAATACAGTCAGACTCTCCCAGAGTCTTCTCTGAGAGTTATGGTAGCTTTTTTTTTTTTTTTTTTTTTGAGACAGCGTCTTGCTCAGTTGCCCAGGCTGGAGTGCAGTGGCTCGATCTCTGCTCACTGCAAGCTCTGCCTCCCGGGTTTACGCCATTCTCCTGCCTCAGCCTCCCGAGTAGCTGGGACTACAGGTGCCCACC